GTTCTGATGAAACTTAAAGGTCTGGAATTTTGCCCCAGTGTGTTCCCTATGTTTTGTTGTTTTTAGGACTTAGTTGTTTATGGTAGTAATTTATCATGTTCTTTATAGTTATAATTGGTCTTGTCACATAGAACCTCCTCCAGAGATAATTAAAATTTTCTGGATCCTCATGATGGAAGTACTGTGGTTCCCGGGTGGTCATTTACTATGTTGTTTGTGCTATCAGTCACAATGTCATCTAATGAGACTTGGAATGGTTACTGAGGTATGGCCATAGATAATAATAGTATCTGTAGATGTATATTTTTAAGTACTTCAAGGTTCCACTGTTAGCCCTTCTGTCTGTCCTGATTAATTTGTAAAAGGCTTTACAACAATATTGTGAATGAGTCTTCTGTGGTGCTTTATTTATTATGTATTTATGTTATTAGGATCCTTTAAATATAACTCTATATCTTTTAGGAATGGTACTGATCTTTTGGTTTTTTTTAACCTCCGGAACTGTAGGATGTAGATCCACAGAGCAAGCATCATCTTGGGATAGATCTTCCTTCTTAGATTGTTCCTTACCTCTTCCCCAGAAGTAACATTTTTAGATAATTTTTCATGATTTGCTCAAATAAAAGCTTTTAATAGAGTCAATTTTATGGTCCACCTGATATATAAGTAGTCAAAGGGGTATAGTCTGAGGTTTGTCTTGCTCTCTTTCTCCCCTACTTTTTCTTCCTCCGCAGTATTTGTTTTTGTTTTTGTTTCTTAGCTAGGGTTTTACTGCTATGAACAGACATCATGACCAAGACAAGTCTTTTCTTTAAAACAACACTTAATTAGGGCTAGCTTACAGATTCAGAGGTTCAGTCCATTATCATCAAAGTGGGAGCATGGCAGTATCCAAGCAAGCATGGTTCAGGAGGAGCTGAGAGGTTTACATCTTCATCTGAAGGCTGCTAGCAGAATACTGACTTCCAGGCAGCTAGAGTGAGGTAAAGCCAACACCTACTCCAACAGGGCCACACCTTCTAATAGTGCCACTCCCTGGGCCAAACATATACAAACCATCACAGTTTTGATAACCATTTTTCATGAGTCCTAGCTCTCTTATCTCTGGCTCTTTGCATGGAGGAGAGGGTTTCCCTCCTTCAGCATCAAGCCACAGTACTAAGAGGAGTTCGAGGATGAGCTGCATTGCAAACGAGGCCTTGTGTACTGCAGTACACCAAGTTTAATCTCTGGTCATGAGGCCTTGCTGAGAGTGTTATATTTTATTAATATTACCAGATAGTTGAATTAGTTCGAAAAAATTTATATCTCCAATTATTTTGCCAGTAGTTTGCTGTGTATTCATTGGATTCCTTCATGGAATCCTGACAACTATGCCAGTTGTCATGAGCATGCTATTTCAGAAATGTAAATGAAAATATTTATGCCTTTCCACACTGTCAAATTTTATTTGAAAACAATAAATTTGCAAGTTTTAGTGGACTCAATAGCAGTAACTTGTCAGATAATTCTGCCTACTTTGGTAATAGGGTCGAAGCAAATGCTTGCTCTTTTACTGCAAATGGAGGCTGTATTGATTAGATGACAGCCATCATGAAGAAGATGCAGTTGGAGATTAGGCTACCAGAGTCAGGATTGAGAGTGAAGATGTAGTCAGCTTCTGGGATAAGAGGGAAGTTCCAGGTTGGAATAGGAAGTAGTAGTTTCAGGTCCAACTGGGTTAACAGGTGGATGGGCATGTGGCATCTGAAGTCCCAGGGACAGTTAAAAGTTCTCTGCCCAGTGGTCCCTAAGCCAGACATCAAGTATTCCATGAAAGGCAGTGTGGAGCCACTGTGATGGGTGTTCCATTTTATAGGGTCCATTGGAAACTTCTCTTTGGCCTCATATATCTTACAAATTCTTGGGTTGGTTTCCTTGATATGATTTTAATACACCCATGTTCCCCTGCAGTCTCAATTTGCTCCCAGTGTACAGGGTGGCACCCTTACTACTCGCAGGAATACATCATTTGTGCCGCATGGGTGGTGCTAGACAGGTTGAGCTGTTTTCTTGTCCTCTCAGGAACACCATGATGCCCATCCTCGAAATGGAGTGAGAGCTGTTTTTGTAATGGAGTCCCCCAGAACAAGCCTTAAAAACTGTAAAAGCTCACTGTTTTTCACAATGTAAAGTGACTTAGAATGGCCATGACCCCATCACACACACCATGTGGGAGCAAGCCCCATCTCAAAGATGGCACACCACACTGGGCAAAACTGAGTCAAACAAACAGTACTGACATAATAAGTGGACAACATGGTAGCATCTCACCAGCATGCTGTACTTCCCTGTGCTCAGCTGTGTAGTTCATCTTTCTCCCACCTTCAGCAAAGGAAATATCCTCAATGTTCAAGTTTTCCGTGTCTGCAGAGTGGGCAGCCCCATCTACTAACAACTGATATTCTGTCAGAGTCACTCTCCTGCCTTGAAGACCTCAGTAAGTAATACAGAAACGGGGCCTCATGGAATGTGATGTGTGGTATGTTATCCGATATAATGTGTGATAACATAAGTATCTTTCCACCAGCTTCCTACCTTTGAGGGTCTTTGTAGCTAAATGCCTCCACTGCCTTCCTAACTCTGACTTAGGAAGTTCACCTGGGAAAGCAGCGTGGTCATGGGGCAGATTGCATCTTAGTGCCTCAAAACATAACAGACGTGACAAAACCAGGAGGTTCTCTCTGAGGTGGTCTGCTGACTTGCAGACCCGATGCCAGCCTATTTGAAAGGATTTTCCCCCCTTTTCTCTATGAGAATAAGTAAATCACCTTGCTCTGATTTACCTTATATCCTAGAGTCAAAAAAATTCATAAAGTAAAATCATAATTATAAAATCTCATGATCAGTCCACAACGGCTTGCATCAATCATGCAAGTGACACATAACCCATGTTGTATACGTACAATTGGAGATGAATTAATTAGTCCCTGGTATCTTATCACCAAAGACCAATCTCAGAGAGGACAAGTAGCATTATAAAATTTATCATCTGTGAGGCTAGAGAGATGGATTAGCAGTTAAAAGCACTTACTGCTCTCCCAGAGGACCAGAGTTTGGTTCCCCGCACCCATATAGATTCACGGGGCCTATAACTACAGTTCCAAGTAATCGGATGATCTCTTCTGGACCCCATGAGCACACACATACACCACCCACCCACCACATACGCATTTTCATATGGACACTGACCAAAGTAATTTAGGGAGTACAGGGTTTCTTTGGCTTAAATATCCCAATCACAGTCCATCACTAAAGGAAACCAAGGCAGGGATTCAAGGTACCTAGTGGTAGAGCTCATCAGGATAGAAAATCCACAGTGAAGCCCATGGACAATTGCAAGACACTCTTGGCCACTAGGGTAACAGTATCCTTCACCTTCCCCTGGCCATAGCAACAAGGCTGGGAAGGCTAAGGAGAGAGTTAGAGATGGAAAGGTGGCATCAGGAACAGAGAGGAAATTATTTAAGAAGTGAAACTAGATACCACCACCACCCCTTAGCCATGAGAAGTGAGAAGATGGAAGGAGAATCATCCCAGGTGTTCTAAATACAACAATCTAACTTCAGAATGTTTAACCCCAGTGTTTAACCCTCACCTCAGGAGTGAGTGATTTATGCTACAACTAATATACCCTATCCTTCATTGCTTCTGGGGACTGCTACAAAATTGTTTTCCTTATTGACAGGTTAGGAAACACACGGACCTGCATTTACACTTCACCCAGTAAGAAACCAGTCCAACTTGCTCTCAGCTCACAGCTCACAGTTGTGGAGACATTAACTGCAATTTGTTTGATTGCAGGCCTGGGGCTAGAACTCAGGACTTAATCCATGGTAGGCAAGCCTTCCACTGAGTCCCACTCATGGCCTTAATTCCTGCCATTTCCTTCCACACTCCCTCATCAGCTGGGGGACCTCCAGAGCCCAGTGTGTTTTGCAGAGATGTCAGAGAGCTTTGCGTACACTCTGGGACATGGTGGACCCTGGGCTGGAGAAAGCTTGTGTGTGGAGGAGGCATCTGCAAGGTCAGAGTTAGCTTCTGCCGGAAGACCAGCTGAGGGAGGCCTGTTCCTGCCTTTCTTGTCCCTTCCCTCAGAGGTCACATATAGTGTCGAAGCTTTGAGGCAGATCATTTGTACTTCTCAAGAGCTCAAAGGACTAGCAAGGCGAGATGTCAGTATCCATACGGGTTGCCAGCAGACAGCTAAAGCTCCTCAGATGTGTCAGCACTCAGAAGAGCTTTCCTACACACTAACCCAATCTCAGCTCCTCCATTTAACTTCCCACCTCCAACTCAAAGCAAACTCTCTTAATGCTGTGACCCTTTAATTCAGGATGTTGTAGTGACTCCCAACATAAAATTATTTCCATTGCTACTTCATAACTGCAATTTTGCTAGTTATGCCTCCCCAAAGGGGTCCAATCATGTATTCGTTGTGCTTTATCATAGTAGTCACGACTAATAACCCTCACGTTGTAAAAGCCTTCACAGTTTATGGAATAAGAAAAAAGCCATTTTCTTCAGGCCCTTAAATTTTTAGTTGTGATACGGTGTTGTACAATTAATATTAAACAAGCTGTTGCTTCTAACATGATATGCTTGTGTTGAAGATTCTTTGAAGCTAACCATTTAAGTTGAAGCCTAGTTCCGTGTGACTGGAGTCCAGTCCCTGACTTCTTGGCACCTCTGTGATTAGTTCTGCTGAAAAGTTGGACGTCCAAATGAGTACTGCTTTAGTTTACAGTGTTGTAAATGCGGTGGAGCAGCCACTGATCCGGGAAATTCAGTCTGTTCTCTCGGAACCACAACATCAACCCCAACAACGCTGGAGCAGCAATCAGCAGAGCACAGGGGGCGGGGCCGGGCATAGGGGCGGGGATGGTCACAGGGGCGGGGCCGGCCGCAGGGGCGGGGCCGGGCCTGGGGGACCCGGCCGCGAAGGTGCTGGGAAAGCCGTGAAGCTCCGAGCGCAGCCTTGTCAGCTGTCTGAGCCGCCATGCTGAGCGCCACGTGCCGCAGGCTCGCCCCGGTGCTGCTGCGGAGGCCGTGCGCACCGTCTCCGGTCGCCCGGAGGTGTCTGCAGGCACCCGGGGCCAGGTCCTGCGCTGACCAGAGCGAGAGGGCTGAGCAGCCTCGCACCTTCCACCCTGCTCTGCTGGAGTTCCTAGTGTGTCCGCTCTCCAAGAAGCCGCTTAGGTGAGACTCACCTGCCGCCTTTCCCCGGGGGACATGGTGGTGGCCTGTGGGCCGGCCAGCGGGTCAGGAGACCACTCCCTGGACGCGATCCGCCTGGCCGACCCCCATGCTGGGGTCAGTCCCGCCCAGGACCGGCGCTGAGCTTTTCTCTGGTTCGCCATTGGCTGCTCTTTACAACCTATCCTAGAGGCTTTAAAGAAAGATAGGATTTCTCAGGTTGGCTAGGCTCCAGAGCTTGTTGAAACAGTGTTAGGGCCAGTGTCTGGGCCTTTCATTTTTTTCTTCTTGCTTCCTTTCGTTCGTTTTTTCCTTCTTTCCTTCCTCTCTTTCTTTTTGCGTGCGCATACCTGAATGTTTGTGTATGTGTGAGTGGGGGAAAGGGTGTAGAGAGAGAGAGGAAAGAGAGAGAGAGAGAGAGAGAGAGAGAGAGAGAGAGAGAGAGAGAGAGAGAGAGAGAGAGAGAGAAAGAGAGGAAGGGGAGACACGCGGTATCAAAAGAAGGTCACTGTTCACTACCTTCTTAAGTCGCTCCCCAATTTATTTTAGGAAGGAATTTCAGAATCTGGAGCAAATCGAGGTGGGCTCAGGAGCTCACATACTTAACAGGATCAGAACTCTGGTTCTGATCAGAACTCGAGATCAGAACTCAGGACACACACTATTGACTTAGTGATCTTGCCAGCCATCTCCGTTCTTTTTGAAAGGTGTTGGGGGATGGGGAGACAAGTTTCTCTAGCTGGCTTGTTTTTTCCTGGAACTCTTTATATAGCCAAGCTTCAAAGTTGTGATACTTTTCCTGCCTCAACCTCCCGAGAGCAGGAGATTACAGGAGTTAACTGCTGCTTCTGGCTTCAATCTTTTTAAAACGACTATTATTCCCAGTATACTGCCATGTGTGTGAACCATAAAGAATCAAGACAGATCCAAAGCAAGTCACTGCTGTGAATTAAGTCATAAATTGGGAATAAAACAAAAAAAGATAATATGAGATATACCGATTCTGATAGGAATAATTACAGATTGTAAGATGATTTTTCTAAGAGAAAAGGTTGGATTGGCCTATGCTTTTAAGACCAAAGTTATTAGAGGAGTGACTATAAATATTACATGGTGCTTTTTATTGAGCATCAAGCCTTTCTAAGTTTTCAGTTTCCACAGATCATTTTGTTCTTTTTCTCCCTTAGATATGAAGCATCGACAAATGAATTGATTAATGAAGAGTTGGGAATAGCATATCCAGTCATCGACGGGATCCCTAATATGATACCACAGGCAGCAAGAACAACACGTCAAAATAAGAAACAAGAAGAAGCTGAACAGCACTAGACCTTGATTATTAAAAGCATAATTACCGAGTTCTCTTATGCTGTATACCTTTAAAATGGGGAAGGGGAGTTGGGGCGGAACAGTGACTGTTCTTCCCCTGCTCTCTTTAGTGGGACTATTCTGATCTGCTTTCATGGAGGAGAATTTCCCAGGGCTGCACCAGCATAGACAGGCTTTGCTTTTACAGTCTGCTCTTGCCAAGTACCATGCCACTGTGTGTGTTCTTCCACCTTTGGAACCAGATAGGTCTAAAACGCTTTAAGTGTAGTACAACCATAGCCAGGACAGCACATACATTAGTAAGAGACGTCTGCACCAACATCTGTGAAAACTACATATAAACCCATTTGGTTTATAATAAGATCTGTATGTCTTATTTCTCTCAGGCTTAGGACCAGGCTCTGGAAGCTTTTTCATACATGTTCTATCCTTGTTTTTTGAAGACTTTCACTTATAACTGTGTGTGTCACAGGAAGCATTTCAGTGAAATGTCTCAATGCAGATTAACAATACCAGTCATCATCAGAGGCCTGCTTTGCATCCCATTCATTTGAAAGTTACTGATTTGAAATATTGTTTGGCTTCATGGTCAATGGTAATAAGAAAATTCTGACATTGTAAACTTGCCTTTGTTACTTTGGTATCACATGGTTACATCAGTAATAAAACAAGATGCTCACAGTTTACCACCAAACTGTGCAGGGGTGGAAGGATGTCTGTTTGAATGGATGTTTTTGTCTCAATAGTCTGATAGGAAGAGATGTGAAAATAGTTTATGTAACTACATTGTGTGTACAGAGACATTTAATATTCAAAATAGAATAATTTCCTAGTGAGGTACCTTCGGTAGGTAAGGTCAGGCAGGAATGGGAAGCTGTTATATCCTTTTAAATTTAGTGTTTCAAGGTACACTCCAGTTTTTCTTGCCGTGGGAAATGTGATAAGTCCTCAGGCCTTTAGCCTTAGTTTTCTAGAGCTGTCACAGAACTGACTGAGGATGATATAGTATCTATTTCAGAAGCAGAGCCTGAATGTTGTAGTCCTTACCCTAAAGAAATGTAAGAATTGGTTATAAATTTAATTGGTTGGCCACACCCCAGCCCAATGCCTTGTGCATGTTAGGTAAGTGTGTAGCCACTGAAATCCTCTACCCCTGATTTCTTAATCTACGCTGTGTTTGTGTGTGGAAGAGGCAGAGCATGGGGAAGGCACAGGACAGATTTGTAGAGTTGATTCTCTCCTTGCACCATTGGGTGCTGGAGCCTCAACTCAGCCGGTCAGGCTTGATGGTGAGGCCTTTAGCATCCTAATTGTCTCACTGGCCTTTGATTGATTCCTAATGAGCTAGCTTCCTAAACTAGTTTAATAAAAGATGTAAATGGTTCTCCCTGGAAGGAGAAAGTTAAAACCTGTCATACATGTTTCCTATTATATTGTCATTAAGTATAAGTCACATTCTTACATTATCCAGTGTCAACACAGAGCTGAACTAGATCACACAGTGTCTCTGGTGCTGCAGTGGAGGTCTTAGCTCTGAATTTCACATTTAACCAACTGAGAACTGTGGACAATGTAAATGAACAGTTTTGCCCATAAAGCTAGTATTAACCTGATAAGTCAGTTGCAGCTTTTTTAACTTAATCTAGGAAGTTGTTAGGAAGCTGAGAAGTTGTCTCTAAGGGAGCTCAGTATTTAACTATTCTATCATCAAAGAATTACTTGTGCAACGAACCCTGGGTGCAGTTATTAGCATAGTACATAGTCTTTAGTCTCAGAACTTGGAGAGGAAGTAATAGCACCATTTTACAGGTGGGCAAACAAGCATATTAGTATTGACTTGAGCCAGGGACTTAAGAGGTGCAGCAGGATCAGGAAGTCAGTCAACTACATCTTGAGCTAGAGAACCTTTTATCAAAACCCGAACTAACCTCATTGGGTCACTAAAGAAATCAAGCAAGAAGAGGAAGGTGTTTCAATGGAAGAGTCATTGAGAGGGTACTGGGATAAACATGATCAGAATACATTATATATGTGAATAAAAATATGAAGTCTATTTTTCATAATTAATATGTGTTAGTAGTTTACTCAGAAAATAATAGTCAGTAGGTGTGTCTTAGTTGGGGTTTCTATTGCTGCCATGGAATACCATGACCAAAAGCAAGTTGGGGAGGACAGGGTTTATTTGGCTCACATTTCTGTATCACAGTTAATCATCAAAGAAAGTCAGGACTAAAAACTCAACCAGGGCAGGAACCTGGAGGCAGGAGCTGAGATAGAGCCATGGAGGGGTGCTCTTCACTGGCTTGCTCTCAAAGCTTTGCTCAGCCTGCTTTGTTATCGAACCCAGGACTCTCAGCCCGTGGATAGAATCCCTCATAATGGGTTGGGCCCTCCCCTATGGGTCACTAATTAAGAAAATGCCCTACAGGCTTGCCTAGAGCCCAACCTGATGGAGGAATTTTCTCAACTGAGGTTCCCTCCTCTCAGATGACTTTAACAGTTTCAAGTTGACATAAAGGTAACACCAGACATATCTACCTACCCACCTTTATTGTTTTCTATGAGTCTGAATAAACTCTCAAGGAAACATGACCCTTTCCCTTGAATGAAGATTTAAACCTATCCTAATTAAGATGGTGGATGTAGTTGTAGGACATTAGTAGGCACAGAATAACATGTTTCCTTTATGTTTAAATAAGAAAAAATATTTTACACTTGTCTACATTAAGATTCAGTTAATTAAATTTTCTAAATAATGCTAAGATTTTTTTCAAATGATAGTTTTATTGCTTCGGTAGTAACTGATTTAAGATTTTATTCGTAATTGTAAAAGTTGACTATGAAAAGGTCAGTGATACAGAATATATCCCGTGAACAAAATTCCTGAATATTCTATTTTTTCACTCTTTGCATCTACAAGAAGATAATATGGGGCATCCTTACCAATTATTCTCCAAACCCAAACTAGCTCCTTTCATCATAGGTATTCAATCTTTTTGATAGGTCTTCCTATCAAAGGTTGACCTCTGAGACTGTCAGGAATTTAAGGTACCGTTCATGGACATGACCTCAGTGACCCGTGTTGTAGAAGTTAGATAGTAGTAACAGTGGCAGGCTTAAGAATGCATCAAATAAATATAACTATATGTGAGCATACACCATGATGGTTATTTAAGTTTTTAATTTTCACCATTGGCCCTTTAGAAATATTTACTGAAGCAAAAATGGCACTAAAATTAACACCTGATCCAACTACATATGCACAAAGGGAGAAAGGTGTTTTTTGCTTATTGCATTTGCCGGGCTGTGGGAATTCTCAAGGTTTTTTTTTTTCCTCATCAAATATTGCATACTCACTATAGAACTGATAATATGGTGACGTGGTAAACCAGGCAGATGAACTTCTGCCTGCACAGCATACAAAAATACATGTCTTCTACATGTGTTCGCCAGTGAGAATGTTCTCTAAGTTAACTTCAGGAAGTGTAGCTGGTGTCTCATCAGTGGTAATCCTTGTTTGTGTGTTTAATGAGAGTCTTATTGCTTCATAATTCTCAATGTAAGAGGTACATTTAAATTCTCATAGACATTATGAATATATCTGCAGGGGATACAGAGCTAGAAAATAAGTTTTGCAAAATGACAGTTATCAGAACAGTGCAGGTTATGTCTGCTTAGTGTCTAGGTTGCCACATGGAAGCTAATTATTTGTTTATTTTCATCCAGCAGTTCTCAACTTGTGGGTCATGACCTATATTATGATTCATAACAGTAGCAAAATTATAGTTGTGAAGTAGCAATGGAATGGATTTACGGTTTGGGGCCACCAACATGAGGAACCATGTTAAAAGGGTCACAGCATTAAGAAGGTTGAGAAGCACTGGTCTTAGCTATAGACACTGGCCCAGATGTTTGGTATCTACACGAACATGGAACTCTTGTCTATTCTACTTTCACATCTGATTCAGACTAAGTTCAGAATTTCTCTTACATTTTACAGCAATGGACACAGGAATGCTTAATTCAGGTTTCTGGGTGATATTTCAGCTTGATCTCAGAGGAAGAAATATAAATGATTTCAAGTAGAATGGCTATATGAATAAAACTGGAGGCCCAAAAATGTTGCTTTTCTTTCCTTGTAACATGATCTTTGTGTGTGTATGTGTGCTATTAAAATTTTACTTATTAGCAAAAACAAAACAAAAATCCACAAGCAAACAAAAACAAAATCCTGACTTAAAATAGCATTTACTCATTAGATCAAAATAGAAGAATCCAGAAAGTTGGCCTAAGTCAGTTTTCTTCACTACTGTATAACATTCCTCTTCATTTTGAGAAAATTTCTGTTTACAAAAAAATAAGAACCAAAATGTACAGATTCTAATTCCTTAGGCCGAAAGTTTTTACTATCTAAAGTACCATATACTTCAGTTAAAAGCATTAAAATGTAATGTTCTGTAGCACAATACGGTGACTAAACTTCATGACATTTTATGAAATACAATATATATCCCTAACAAAATGTTTATGGATAGAGCAATTAGTTTCCTTATTTGATTACAGTATAATGTATACATGTATCATGCCCCTTGAGTATATGTAATTTTGTATCAATTTAAAAGACACCTTACATTTTAGTATTTTACACTGTATCATGATTGCCTGTTTTTTGTCTTCTGTCTAGACAGTAAACTCTTCTTCCAAAATTTTGTTTTCCTTTGGGTGCTGGATTGCACCTCAGAACCTTCTGTGTGGTAGATTACCATTGCAACATTTTTATTTGTTTATTTTTTATAGATTTATTTTATTCATACATGTCTGTGTGAGTATGCTCACACATGTGTGCAGGCGACAAGGAGACTGAAAAGACAGCAGATCCCTTGGGTCTGGTGTTGCAGGTATATGTGGGTAATTAGAACCCAGACTTTGATCCTCTGATATAGCAGGAAGTGCTGTTAACTCCTGAGGCATCTCTCCTGCTCCTGGTTTGTTTGAGGCAGGCTCTTTAAGCTCAGGCTGAAGCTCCTATAAATCATCCTGCCTCCTGGGTGCTGGTATTGCACTCATGAGCCATTACACTTGGCTGTCATGACATTTCTAAAATAAGGCTTAGTACAAAGCAGGGAAGGCACGACTCAGACAAGCCTTACTAATTTTTAGTGGTTTGACTTATTCTTAGACAGTCTTATACATATAGTGTACTTTGATCATATATACCCTCAATTTCAACCCTAACATATGGCCCTCCCTCCTTCATATCCTGCCCCCCCCTTTTTAAATAACCCAGTGAATTCAATTAGTGCTGCCTGAATAAGCACAGGGAGCTTACCAGGAAGTCTTATCAATGACCATCTTAGGTTCATCCTGAGAATTAGAAAACCTTTTGTTTATATAGAATTATGAGGATCAGGGTTGAGGAGATGGCTCAGTGGGGAAAAGTGCTTTATCAAGCCTGAGGACATCATTTTAAATGCCTAAAACCCACATTTTAAAACATGGGTGTAGTTACACAACCTCTGTAGTCATAACACTGCAGAGTGCAGAGACAGGTCAGGTAGCTCTTACTGACTGGTAGCCTAGCTCTAGACTCAGTGGAGATGCCTCAGCGGAATAACACAGCTATACAGTGTATAACAAAGTAATAAAATGACTATGCAATGACCTCAGCCCCCATGTGCATGCACCCAAGCACATG